TCAACATCACTTCCCCTGCAGGGCTCTCACAAATGTGGCCCTTGATAATTTTTTCAAAGACCTTCCCCAGGATAGAAGTGAAGCTGACTGGCCTGTAGTTGCCAGGCTCTTCCTTCCTCCCCTTCTTGAAAATAGGGACCACATTGGCCCTTTTCCAGTCCTCAGGGACTTGGCCGGAGCACCAGGAGTCCTTGAACAGCTGTGCCAATGGCTCCGCAATGACACCAGCCAATTCCCTCAGCACCCGCGGATGAAAGTCATTCGGGCCCGGTGACTTGGACACATCTAAGCCCTCCAGGTAGTCCTTAACTAGGTCTGAACTAACAGTCGGGGGACTTGCATCCTTCCTGGGCCTCTCTACGCTGTCACCTGAGAGCACCGCATTGTCAGCAGACAGGAACACGGAGGGCAAGAACTTGTTGAAGAGTTCTGCCTTCTCTCGCGTGTCCGTCACCAACTGCAATGCCCTGCCTCGTAGGGGTCCAGTGTTACCCCGAGACTTCTTCTTGTTACCTATATACTTGAAAAAGGACTTTTTGTTATCCTTAATCCCAGAAGCTAATCTAAGCTCCAGTGCTGCTTTAGCCTTCCTTACCAAATCCCTACAAGCTCAGGTCAGGTATGTTCTTAGTTCTTAGAGTAAGATGGACAAAACCAAAAAAATGGATAATAGAGGAGAACAAAGCACAAATGAAACAATAATTTAGTAGAATAAGAACTGTCAGTGAACCTATGACCTGCCTGTTGTCAATTATTTTGTCAGATGCATGACAGAGGTCAAATTTTTTAAGAAGGTACTGATGTACCTTCCAGTACCTTTATATGGAACGTATTTCATGAAAACACATCCAGACTTGCAAATTGGAGCCCCATGTATATTTTGTTGCTCTTCCAAAAAACACACTGATGACTCTCAAAACTTTTGAGGAGTACTATCTGCTAGCTTCAGCTTAAACTTTTATTGATTTATCTGCTTGTGCTGCTTACTGTCACTGGAAATATTATGCCTCTCTTTATCACAGCAGAGTTACTTGTAAAAATTGTAAAAATGCCACGCAGAGTTGATTTTGAGCAAGATAGATGACTTTATAAAAAGTTAATGTTTAGCATGTAACTAAAGAAAAAGAAATACAGAAAATAAAACATATAATTATTTCTGTTTGTGAATAAAATGTAGGTTCTCTGGGGTTGAGAACCATTGGCCAAGTGCTTCCTGCCTCCCTTGCCAAACTCCTTCAAGACCAAGTTCTATTTTTTAACAAAGCTTAGGAAAAATTAAATAGCCCCTTGCCCTTTATGGGGAGCATCTAAATCACTTCCCACCTGATTGATTAATGGTAAAGGGCTGGTTGATGCTGCCCCATCAAAGCAGTCACACTGTTAGAGATTTTTTAATTTCAGAAGCTTTTGTAAAAGACCAAAAGATCATTATAGCCATCCCTTTATTGATGGAGGATCATATGTTATACTGCTTGTGTTTTTTCCAGTCTCGTTTTTAAATGCTCTGTCCAGTATACCATATTTTCTCTGTATTTCTACCTTGGCTAGTGTTTCAGATGTCTTAACATTTTGTATCTAAATTTAATGTATGTGTTGCCTATGTCTTCCAAGATACAGGAAAAAACACAAGATAACACAAACCAGAGTTAATAAACTGGATAGGTGAAAGGACCCATGTTGACTGGGAAGTGAGCGTTGACCTTTTGGGGCATTATATCAGTCCAGCTTGGAATTAAGCAGAAGTACTTGAGCTTTCAGAGCAGAACTCAAAAGTTATGTATGATGAACTTGGTTCTGAATGTTAGTTTGAAGTAAATCCGTACTGCTTACTGTCTTCACTGTTTACCATTGTTAGAAACAGAAGCAGTGAAAGGTTGCTGAATGCACAGAAAAATGCACTACCTCATTACCTTTCTCTGCCCTGTGAAACCAGGTTGGTATAAGAGGGGCTGCTGACTGTTTTTCTCTTCGTGGGTCACAATGTGGGAAATTGAAATAATGTCTACAATAAATAGTCACTTTTAACATACACTTTATATTACATACAATTTGCTCTACAGCAGACTATTTCTTACTAACTTTTAATTTTGTAATTTAACATTCATTTGGTTTTCAGATAAATAACTGTGCACAAAAGATTCTTTCTTTTAGAAGGGGAAAATGCTAGAAAAGGGAAAAACAAAAAGAAAGACAATATTGTGGTGCACTTAAATCACTGTCCATTTAAATTGTTGGAGTTAGTTTTATTCCCTTATCCATTAAACTGGCTGTTTTCTAACTATAATATATTTTCTATATAATTAAAGCTATGATTTGTCTAATTGTAAATAAAAAGTACATATTTTACATTAAGAAGTGTGATTACTCAGTAATATTTAGGTAATATGAGATGCTGGCACTCATTGACTGACTGGATGGCAGCTCCATTAAAGAGCTCTGTAGCTAGTATCAGGCCATAATTCTTTGAAATCAGCCACCCTTTTCCAGTGTTTAGGATAGACAAGATAAATATTTTGTGAGAGATTTTTTAAAATATTTATTTATTAGTAAACAACTCTGTTACACTAGTAGACAAATGTGTTAATGGGGCAGGGGACACTCTCTGATAAGGCACAAAAAATAATTTGCTTTAAAAGTAATCTGTGTGTGGGTGGTACATGATCTTATTTAGGAGGAATGTATGTTTTCAGTGTCAGAATGGCTAACCTCAGCTAGGTCTGTAGAGAAACATATCAGTATTTTTCTGTTTATTCCTGGTAGCAATAGCCATTTAGCAGGCTTCATATAATGTTTCCTGTGGTCATAGATCCTTCATATTCTAGAAGACTTGCTTCTCTTTGTGTGAGTCGCTCTTTTTCCCTAACTAATATCTTTGGCAAAGTTATTCCTGAAAGAATCTGAGCTTTGGTATACAGCAGGTGGTACTCAAACTTCTGCCCTTCAGGCTAGATTAGTGGTGCAGGGTTGACCCGAGGAACCAGATCCCTCTGGGATTCTGTAGCCATGGCAAGTAATGCTGCATTGCTCCCCTGCCACCAGATTTACGGACCCATGGGAAGCCCTGCAAGCCAAGTGACACAACCCCATGCTGGAGTTTGACACCACTCATATATGGCAGTGTGTCAGCATGGGCAGATACAGGATTTTGAAAAGGAGTGTGCAGTTCATGTGCCTCATTATCACATATAACAACACATTTTGCTTCAGCTAAAGAGAAGTTCAGTTTAAGATCAAAGCCAAAAAACAATATAACTATTGGAATGGTTGCTGTGTGCTCCTTGTTTATGTATAATTTGTTGTATTATATATAAATTGTAAAAGGCACAACAAACTAGGCAGAAATAGTCAAACTGTCAAAAGATATTGTGTTATTTAACTGTAATCACTACAGGACTAATGTACGTATCTTATTCAGCTTTGTAAAAAAAAATATAGTTTTCTGGAGTATCTTGATAGTGCATCCTCTTTTTCACTGCCCGTCATTTTTACACCTGAGTTAAAGTTTTTAGCTGGAGCTAAAAACAGTCTGCAGGACTGTGAAACACGGGGGAGACATTACCAGAAATGCCTAGCAGCTAAATTGCAGAAGGAGGATAGTTTGAATAGCAGAACATCAAAACAATTACAAAGGAGAGAGGGTCATTAACACCTGTGAAGAGATATTATTAGGAATCAGTTGGGTGTTAATGAGCCATGAAGTCAATTGACTCCAGTGCTGCCTAAATAGAAATGCCACTTCCCCTTCTAGGCAGCTGGTTTTAAAGTTGGCTGGAGCAGGAATCAAAAAGGGGTGCCCCTTTTGTGTCAGCTCAGCTTTGTATCTTATGAATATTATAATTAATTTCCATCCATGCCTGTTAACTGATAGTGTAGCTCACATGCATTATTAGGCTGCTAATTAATCATAGAAGAATAGTAGAAGTTGGTTCCATTCCTTGGTTTACTGAATTTGGAACATTCTGTGTAAGCAAAAACAGCAACAAAGTAGTGTGTTCCTCTTAAATACTTAACTGTGACAGACCCAGCTTCATATTCTAAAGCAATGGGACTAGCATGCATGCCACAAATTAGCCCCACGCATTCCTCAAGTGCTGCTCCCATCAGATTCCCCTGATTGGCTGGTCTGCTTTCTGTTCCTTGCCCAATCTATTGCTCTGCTTTATGCTCACTGCTGTGTGCTCCTTGCTTGATCTGCTTTTCTGCTTGCTGCTCCCTGCTCGCCTGTCCCCTTCCTGTTCGGTTGCCTGCACCACACAGAGGCAGCCTGAGTCACAGGTTGGCCACCTCTGTTCCAGGGTATTAGCCCTACCTGAGCTGCTTGTCAGTTCTTCCAGGTCAATACCAAGTTATATTCCATGGCTTGCCTGTGGTACAGCTTGACCAGTGGATTAGGGCCTGCAGCAGTCTCAGTTGTGCTGTTTTTGACAGGAAGAGCCACCTGTCAAGTGAAATTGAGACACAGTAATCTTGCATTTGTGTCCTTGTGTGAAATCAATACTTGGGTGGGAGAGCAGGAAAATTCAGCTCTTGCAGGAAATAGTTTTGGAGAACCAGGAAATTATGCTACCTTCTCTGATCCAGTATTAAACAATTGTCCTATACTGTTATGAGAGGCTAAGAAGCTGGAGAGCAGTACAACAGCCCCTGAACACTTGTGGTTGCAGTCAATCTTCTGGCTCTTTTACAGTATGAATTTTAAAGTTGTTAATTCTTCTGGCCTGAGCACATTCTAAGCCTGGTTTACTCTAATTTAGTTTCTTAAACTACACCTAGAATCGAATATTTGCTTTTGTTCCCAAAAGCAGTTGCATAGTTCTCATGGTATAGAATGACATTCCATGCATACCAGATGGGTCTTCCTTTTAGATCATTCATCCAGCACTTAAGTGCATACAGTTTGCAAAATGCTCTGGAGATCCTTTGAAGGAAGAGACACTGGTGAAGATTTTTAAAGGGGAAAAATGTTGTTAGATTCCTCCCATTTAATGAGGCACCTAAATGTCATTTGTGCTTTTAAAATCCTCACATACATGCCTACATGCACACATTCTTGCTCTGTGAAACATAAGCTATTAAAAGTTCAGCTGCTGACCTGACATGAGAAAGCAAGAGTGGGGGAAAGGAGGAGAGAAAAATATAGACCAGAAGAAAAGAAGATATGATAATGAAACAGAGGGTTATAGTTGGCGAGGAAAGGGAGTAAAGTTGTTCCACTCCCCTCCTTTGCCCAGGGAAAATTGACCTCTTGTTATTTTTTGCATATTTTCACTATTGACAACTGGGCCAGTTCAAAAGTTAAGTCCCCCAAAATCATGAGATAATTGGTTTTAAGTTTAAAAAAGGGGACTTTTGGTTTCAGTTCTTATTATATTTTTAAACTTTACTCTGCAGCAAGAAACCAGAAACTGGCTGTTAATGAAGGCTGAGATCTTTGTATAATTACAGAATTGTAAGAATGGGGGCTTTAAGTAAGGATTAAATATGCAACTGACATTAAAATCAAAGGAGAGGGCAACACAACATAAGTAGAGCCTTATCAAGATCAGTTTTCCCCTGTTGATTCTGTCGAACCAGACCTAAAGGAAGAAAGTGAAATAAATATGACTTGTTTTAAAGAGGCCAAAGCAGAAATGGAACTCAGGCTGGCAAGAAAAA